GGACCAGGAAAGAAGCCACCCACGAGCCTGGGTTAGAGTTGTACCAGACACACAAGTGACCTAATAACAAAAAAAACACCCTCAGACCAACAAGAGTAATGCAGAACTTCAGATCCCTGGGCTACCAATTACTTGCTGTCCTACCTGCTTCCAAAAACAGTATCTATGTGCTCAAAAGCGGACTAAGTAGGTCTAGGTATTCTTCTCTGCTCCCTCAAAAGTAAGTGGTTTAAGTTTCAGGTTTCTGTGACTTGATTTTTGTTGGAGGGGGAAGAGGAACTAGAAGAGAGATGGATAAAGTTTTTCTCCAGGTCCTATGTCCACAGTAAATATAGCCACCAGACAATACAGGACCAACAGAGTATGAAGAGATCATCAAGTTAAATTTGACAAGCTTTTTAGGAAAGGAAAAATCTTTTCAGGTCCAGTTGGCAATTATTTTAATAAGGAATCTAGGAATTTTCACAAGGCTGACAAGTGATTCAGAAAACAAGAGCTCAGAACTGCTGCACACAGTTACTGTGACTTCTTTGTAACAGGTTAACAACTCTGATCTTTAGTATAACACAATAGTGGAGACAGATATAAATACAAACAAAATATATGACTCAAAGACCCCAAAAAAGGAGGACCTCAATTCAGAAACTGCTGCCCTCTGAAGCCATCCAGGCCACCAGAAAAGCAGCCATACACTGGCTTGTAGAAAGTGGGCCAGTCTTAAAATATTAGTATTACAACATGAGGCTTTTCAAGCTGAATTCTTGTAGCTCTGGCAGGCAGGGAGCTAGAAATAGAACTCCTTGGATTTAAGATCACACATGCAGAGATCTGCCTGCGAAAAACACCAAGAGCAAGTGCCAGAGAGCATTTGAGCAGAGGCCTAGGAAAACTATCAAAAAGGGAAATGGGGGGGGGAAGCAAGCCCACACACTTGTCAACAAGAAAAAGGAGACCAGTGGATACAGTTCACTAGCTTCTTTCCAAAGTGACTTTGTCACTCATTCAGTCCCTGCCGCAGGACACAAATCCATCCTGGAACAGGTAATGCCTTGCTCCCCTTTACAGCAACGGCCAACAACAGATTAGCTGGGAGCAGATTTACTTCAAATAACGTATCTCTTTGCGTTGAGTAAAGACAGGCACGCCATTTCCTAGGCCAGTATAAAGGGCACCTTATACTTCCTTGCATTAAACTTAAATTATTGAATTCAAGCAAGTTGAACACTCAGTCTACTCAACTTGTAGGTAAATAGATTTGACAGTGCTGGTAGATGTTTAAGGTCTGCCGACGGGAATAGAAAATTGCCGCTCTTTCAAAAGCTATTTCTTTATTTATTTGTGAGTAAATAACAGTTTTTAGAAGAGAAGCTTTTTTGCAGGCTGCTTCAGAAATCATGTTTATTCACACTTTAAGAGATTAGAGCAACAAGGGAGTGGGAATGCGCTGCAGTTCTCTCTTAAAATTAAGTTTCTTGCCTGGCAGCATAGAAGTGAAACAGATACTTAATTTGCAATTGTGGGCAAAGAATACTAATAATAGGTCCACCACCAAATCCTCCAGCTGTTCAGCCTAAGCACCAGAACAAGTACAGAGCTACCCATTTCATCTTCCACAACAGCATAAGCACATCTATCCTGCAGTGCCTGGCTTTTACTCTCCTCCTCCTAAGCCTTCGGTGTTCAGATTAAGTATGTTTTGCTCCTGCCCAAAAAGTGAGCTTCAAAACCCCACCTACATAGCTAACTACCAAACCCCCTAAAAAAACCAAGCCTCTCTCCTTAAACAGATTAAAATATTCAACTGACAGCACTATCACACAAGCTGCTTGTTGCACTGAATGGTGGTAGCAGGGACCTAGGTAGGAAAAGGAGAAAAAAAAAAAAAGATATTCGTGAGTTTTGAAGCAAATCTACTGCCACAGAAGGTCAATGTGGTGGGAAGGGCATGATTAAAAACTGTAGGCTTATTTATTTTCAACATTCTACCAGAGAGGAACATGCAATTTGATTCTCACCCTTAATTTGTACATTCTCACGGGAATTTGGCAAGGTTGCTCTGAAGAACAAAGTTTGGAGAACTCTTGCAAAAGACATCACACTATGCCAGATCAAGCAAGCTATCAGTTATTTACATTCATTTCAAAGGACACAAAGGAAGCAATTTATTTCCACCATATCTGCACTTTTTTAAAGAGAAACCAGTTAGGACAGAGCTGATCCTAAACCAGGCTTGTCAATACAGACCAACCAGCATAGCTGCTGTTATTCTGGAATAAACATTTAAGTATGATCAGACTAATCTGAATTAATTTACATTGATAGAGACAATTCCAGGACACAGCGATCTCGGGGTAGGGGGGTGGGGGGAGACACACGACACATGCATGTTAGGAAGTCATCCTAAACTTGTGCTGCTGGGACATTTCCTAGTGCAGGCAAGAGAAGTCCTCTGGCTACCAGGTAAAGCGATCTCTGGTCTGCACCTTCCAAGCCACCAAGGAGAATTTTTTAGAAGCCTATTTTAAGCACAAGCTTCAGGAACTGTAAGGAGGCATATTTGGCTTAGCCACACTTGCAGGATTAAAATACACACCTAATTCTCCCAGCTATGAAATAAAATTACTCCTATGTTAACACACAGAAGTGCATTTCATCTCTTTCAGCGATGGGAAGTGACCAACATAATATTAATTTTGTCAGACACATTGCTACAAACAAAACTAGAAAAAACACAAGTCTGGCTACAGGTTAAGAACCCCAACATGCTGCCTGGAGTTGGAATAATGGGGGAAGGGTGGGGGGAGAAGAACCACCCTATGCCCGCACATGCAGTGAAATCCATCTTAACCAGCCAACAGTTAAAGTGACATAATGGAGTTTCCCAGATCCAAGCTGCAGATCCCGCAGCGCAGAAACCACAGCTGAGGGAGGCTCTGCCTCACCTCTCCTTCAACCGCTCCCAACACAAGTAAGATTTCCCCATCACTACACAGCGACAGAAAGAGATACAGAAAACCACTGCTGCACTGGTCAGTAAAAAGTAGGAGTATGTTCACCTTTTATCTGTGAAGGTGAAATAAAAATGAGGAAATCAGTGGGGTAACCCTTCAAATCCCCAAAATTGAGTTATGCAGGAAGAAAGAGATCGAATGCTATGCTGTCAAAGCTCAGCATGTGGACAAAACTGCACCTGAAATTTAAGTGGTAATTAAATTTATTACCTAGAAAGACCATTCACCAATTTACAAAGTGTTTTTCAAGGTAACTTTTGCAGCTGCTAAAAGGTAAACTCAAATATTCCCCACTAACTGTAGGGTCAGTGCAGCTGTAAAGATCTTCCCTTTCAGCCAGGTCACCTCCCAGGGCCTGAGCTGCCCGGCAGTACTTTGATCAGATCTCCGTGGGTACGAACAGCTCCGTGGCACTCCAATAGCCTCCAGTTTTCCAGCACAGGAGTCCACACATCCAATCTGTTTAAAATTTCACTTAACTATTTATTTGAAAGCACTTTCCTGCACAGGACATAGAGCACTATTACTTGGCTTGCAGAGAGGAACAAATTTAAAACAGAAAACAAAATAAGTTTTTTCCTTTCTCATAAGCAAAAGCTTCTAACAGGAATTGGGATGCATTTGTCAGGTCAACACCTCCTACAATTAAGACAGGGTCAGAAAGCCTCAGTCCTGTTCTGATGCAACTAATACACATGCTGCACCGGAGAGGCAGGAAGAGTCACATCTTTGCTGAGGCTGTGGTCCTGGGGGCAGAGGGAAGCCTACAGAAAAAGACCCGTAACTGAAGTACAGCATCAGTAGGTGCTTTCGAATGTATTTTAAGACCCTGAAACTATTTATGAGTTACAAGATCAAATCATCAATCAAAGTCACTGGAACACGAGCACAGACAGAGCTGAGGTCAGCCAGTTGAGCCTATGAATGGAGCTAAAACGTCTTGTTTATCTCAGCACGTGTGTGCACACTAAGCCTGAAAGATACGGGTGACCTACCCGAGCAGCCCACCCGCTCCTCGGTGTCAGGCCAGCTGAAAAAGCACAGAGAAGACACAGCCAAGTAACGGGCGCGGATTCCCGTCAGCGGTTCTCACTATAACGGACAGATGAGTGGAAAAAGCAAGAAAGAAAACAACCTTGCTTGGCACCGTGCCCACACACACATCCCAGTGCAGTGGGGAAAAGAGGCCGGGGGCACATACCAACCGCGTATCAGCTTTCTGGCCCAGGGAGCAGGCAGATCTGGCAGATGCCTAAATACAGGCCACTCTCTGTCCCAAATCCACCTTCCCAAACCCCTCCGCAAGCAGGAACCTGAGAGGACCTCTCTGCAGAGCTCCCTCGCCTTCCCAGCCAGTTCACCAGAGGAAGGTAGATGCTCACCACCACTGAGCAGCACCCCACACCCCCCACCACAGCCATGAGCCCACCTTTCTTGAACTCCTCCAGCATGGCATCGAGCTTGGTGTCGTTGAAGACAAAGTGCAGCGGATGGTTGTAGAAGCGGGTGATGGTCTTGAGCGGAGTGCAGTCATCAGGGTCCACGAAAGCCAGGTCCTTAACGAAGAGCAGGTCCACGATGTTGGAGCGGTCGCCCTCGAAAACAGGGATGCGGGTATAACCACTCTCCATGATCTCGGACATAGTGTTGAAGTCGAGCACTGCCTCAGCAGCAATCATGAAGCAGTCTCGCAGAGGAGTCATCACGTCCTCCACCGTCTTGGTGCGCAGCTCCAGGGCTCCTTGGATAATATTGAGCTCCTCCTTGACTAGATCGTTATAAGGGTCGGTGACCCGCAGCATCTCCAACAACTTCTCACGGTTATAGACCGTGCCGATCTCCTGGCCCAGGACACAGTCCAGCAACTTGCTGACGGGGTAGGAGGCCGGGAAGGTCATCATCATGAAAAACTTGGTGAGGAAGATGGTGTTGGCGCCCACGGCCAGGCCGTGCCGAGAGCAAATAGCCTGCGGCACGATCTCGCCGAAGATGACGATACCGATGGTGGAGACCCCGCGGCCACCAGCCCAGAGCCGGCGATGTCGTCCAGCAGGATGGTAAGCGTGGTGTTGACCAGGACATTGCCCAGCAGGAGGGAGCAGAGCAGGTAGTTGCCCTGGCGCCGCACAGGCTCGATGCGCTTGGCATAGTTCTTCTCTTTGTCCGTGCCACAGTTCTGCACGATGCGCAGCTCCATGGGGTCCAGGGCCATGAGGCCCAGGTTGAGGCCACTGAACATGCCCGAGAGGCAGAGGAGGAGCGAGATGAAGATGACCTGCAGCCAGAAGGGCAGCAGGAACTTCTTCTCCTCACCCACGATCATCTTGGTGTCCTCGCCATCGTGGTAGATCCAGGTGGTCTCGCTCCAGGCTGGGGGCCCGGCCGGCCCCTCAGCAC